TCGAGAGCGAGGATCCCCATTCCTGCCTCTCAGGGTTCTCAAGGGCCAAGTACCTAGCACATGGCCTGGCACGCGGAGGGGTCCCTGCATCCTCGGCGTTAGCTGCCACCAGGGCGGGCCTCAGTGGGCTGCCCACGACAGTCCCGGCCGCAGGGGACGGGCAGACACGCAGAGTGGTAATCACAGCTCCACGAGGTGGGAGCTGGAGGGCAAGACGCTGAGGAAGGTGACTCCCGACCGCTGGCCCGTGTCCGCATTCCCCCGGGGACTCCCACACCGCTCCCGGCGGCCGCCAGGGGGCACCCGCTCTGTCTGCCGGGTCGTGGTGCTCTGGGACTTGGCTTCCGTTTGTGATGCGGGGACGGGGCTGGCACCGAGGGCTCTGCCATTTCAGCCCCCACCCAGAGCACTAGAGTGTGAACATTTGCTTACATAATACCTGTGTGAGTGTGCACAGAACACTTCCGGGATGAGACATGGAAACCCTTCCCTTTACACCAGGGGCCCTCCATGGGGCTGTCCCCGGGTGACTCCCGGTGAGGTCTGGGCGCACTTCTGGGTGTCATCCCTGGGAAGGTGGAGGCCAGGGAGGTCGCTCAGCACCCCGCGGTGGCCGGGAGGAACCTGGACTCCGTGGTGCCCTTGGAGGGAGGTTTTCCCAGGTCCCGGAGGGCCTGCGGAGGAAGGCACCCAGGCAACGGGGAGGCTCAGGGGCCTCGGGGCTGGGGGGGCCCACACTGTCCAGATTGCACGCTGGCTCTGCCCCCTGGTGGCCATGCGGCCCTCAGCAAGTCTCACAAACATGGTTTTTCTGTCCTTGGGGCTTGAGGCTGGCAGGGGGTGGCCCACTGGACCCTGGGCCACCACCTCCCAGAGACCAACACTTCTGATCCGCACACAGAGGCGAAGGGGGTTTTGGAAGACTTCTCTCTGCATCTTGCATGCGGATGAGATGCTCAAGAACAGCCCTGAGACGGCCCAGTGAGCCACTCCACGTCAGAGGAGCACCTGCTTCCCACATTGGCCAGGCCTGGCTTTTGCTGTTGGCCCCTTTGGCTAGGTCCAGGGGCTCCTGATGGGGCCCCTGTCTGCTGAGCTGGACCCTGGCTCTGTCTCTGGGGATAGGAGGGGAATGCAGGGGCTCAGGCATCACCGCCCCTAGCGCTGCCACTCCCAGGTTCACTCCACCCTCCGCAGCCCCGCAGCTCCAAAGTGCTTCCAGCCTATGGCTCCCAACACCCCTGCAGGGCAGTGAGACCTGTCCCCCCAAGACGCATGTCTCTCTGGAACCTGTGAGGGTGACCTTATTAGGAAACAGGGTCTTTGCGGGTGTCATTTGTCCAGGATGTGGAGATGAGGTAGCCCTAAATCCAAGTGTCCTTAGAAGAGAAAGAAAAAGACAGAGACACAGAGGAGGACACTGGGGTGATGTGGCCACAGGCCAAGAGACACCTGGAGCCCTGGGAGCTGGGAGAGGCAGGAGGGACCTCCCCTAATTTCTACATCCAACAGGGGCTTGAACTTCAAACCCTGAGATCAAGAGTGGCTCCACCCACTCCGTCAGCCAGGCGCCCCACATTTTTGTTGCTTCAAGCCACCCGAGTCTGTGGTCATCTGTTACAGCAGTCACAAGACACGAATACAGCTCTCCTGGCCCTAAGTCCAACAGACACTTGTCAGCCCGCATCTGTGGGCTGCTGGACACAGGACTGCTGCCAGCCCACAAGGTGCCTCTGTGTGAATTAGGAAAAAACTCCACAAAGAACCTTCATAGAGGGGCACCTGGGTGGCTCAGTCATTAGGTGTCTGCCTTTGGCTTGGATCGAGACCTGCATCGGGCTCCCTGATTGACGGGAAGCCTGCTTCTCCCTCACCCACACCCCCTGCCTGTGTTCACTCTCTTGCTGTGTCTCTGTCAAATGAATAAATAAAATCTAAAAAACAAATAAGCATACAAACAAAAAAACCTTCATAGACATATCTTTGTTTGTGACTGTCTATAGGTGAGTGGCTTGTGCGATGAGTGGCTTGTGCAGTGTTTGGCCTGAACAACTGTACATGGTGGCCCGACCACTGATGACTTTTCCCCTTTGGAAGATGTCCCGCGATGACATTCTCTTCTAGTCCCCTCCTTCATATCTGGTTGGCCTGATATGCTTTTTTATGGGTTCTCCAAGGCTGGGGCTCCTCAGGATTGGGTCCTGGGCTTTTCTCAGTTCTCCTGAGGCCTTCACAACCCCTCCTGGCTGACAACCTCCTGTCCCACTTGCAGACCCACCTATCCATCCTCCAGCTGCAAGCTTCTCCCCGCCGCCTGACCTACGAGTCCCCAAGCAACCCTGGAAACTTCCTCCCAAATCAGTGACCTCCCGCCTCAATGGACAGCCCCACAGATGGCCTAGGGCTGTCTCTACATACTTTCTTCCCACCCTTGCCCCTGTAAAACCAGCAACTTGGGACTTCAGAGCACATGGATACTCTGCTCAGATGCCTGCCCTCCATCCCCCTTCCCATACCTGGGATCCCTCCCCAGCTTCCCAGTGCTGTCCTTATGGCCTGTACCTGTGACTCTCTTGGGAGGGCTGCCCAAAAGGTGGGGAGGTGCTGGAAGCAGTGGGGGAGGGCAGAATCCCCTGGTGACCAGGCTGGAACATTCCCTTGCCTGGTTTCCTCTCCTTTCCTGGGTTCTCCCGGGAGCACTCCCTTATAAATTACCCACACATGAATGCTGCCTCAGGTTCTGCTTCTGGGGACCCCTCCCCACCAGCCAGTCCCAGGGCACCCACATCCAGTCACGACCGCACCTGTTCGGCGTTGTTTTGAAAGCTCAACCCATCTGATGTGGACCGTTTGTTCAATACATATTCCTCAATCACCTTTTGTGGGCTCAGAACTGTTGGGGGGGCACGTGTGTGTGGGGGAGGCGCCACCGCCCCCCCCCCCATGCTTCAGCCCCGGGAAGGCCGAGGAGCCTGTGGGTCCCACAGTGCAGCTGCACGGCCTCCAGGCCAGGGCACCTGCCCGCCTAGTCCCTGCAGCCCCTTTCCTGTGCGTGAGGCTGGCCTTCTTCTGGACAGCCCGCCTGCCCGCTGGGGGCTGCCTCCGGGGGTACGGGCCTCGGATGAATGAGCTGTTCTCAGCGTCCACGGTCCAGCCCTGTAACACCCACTTTCCGGCTTAATGGATGAGCATGCAGCGATGCCAGCAACGAGGCATTTAGGAAAACCTAGTTTGGACGGAGCCGGCTCGGAGGACTAGCTCTGTGGCTCTGGGTCCTCTCTGGGCTCCGTGATTTTCTAACAGTGGGGCGGGCTGGAGGGGAAACGGCACCTGCAGAAAAGCACCCCCAAAGCCGGAGCGCCCGCCGTCGGGGTCCACCCGGCGCTAGGAGGACTACCGGGCCCAGCACGTCCGCAGGCAGCACGCCGGGGCTCGCGTCCGCCTCGGCCCCCCGCCCCCGCCCCCGCCCGGGCCCGCCCCGCCCCGCCCCGCCCCGCACCTCTGGGAATGGTGAGCCAGGCGAAGATGCCACAGCGCGCGGCCCAGGCGCTGCTGCTGCAGCAGGAGCTGGCCCGGGGGCTCCCCGGCGCCGCCGTTCGCAGGCGAGCGCAGGCCCATGTTCTCGAAGTAGTGCGCCAGGAAGGCGATCGGCTCCTCGGGCCGCGCCTCCAGCACCTTCAGCAGGGCCGCGCGCAGCATCTCCGTCACGCCGACCTGCCGCAGGAAGTCCTCCTCACTCTCGGCCGTTGCTACTGTGCGGGACACGGCCGGCCGGCCGCTGTCGGTGAAACCGGCCACCGGAGCCACTGCCGGCCGCCGCTTCTCCACCGCCGCCATCTTCGGTAAGGGCCGCGGGACCGGAAGCGCCGCCGTATTCCACAGTGCGCGGGCGCCTCGGGGCGGCCATCTTGGCTATTGGCAGAAGGCGCCCGGATCCCACCGGGAGACTCTGGCAAATGAGTGGAACAGGCCACTTACCACCCCGCACTAGGTTCTAATTGGCATCATTTCTCCGGGTTGCTCTTTGCGTGTGCCGGTTAGCTGTCCAGGCTCAAGCCCGGAACCTGAGTTTTGCCAGACTCCAAGATGGCTCTTCAGGAAGGGCATGGTGTTTGGCCTGAAGCCGTATTGCCCGCCATCTTGATAGCGGGCGAGTCCCTCATTAGCATGCTCCCCTAGCCACCAGTCTCCTTGGAGATCTGGGAAGCCCCGCCGAGCGTGCGCGGGGACTGTTCGAGTCCCCGACGGACGCCGACCCCGCTCCGCTTTCCGATTTTCCTCTGGCCTTTGTGCACCGTCAGGCTTTCAGCCCGGTCCGACCTGCCTCTGAGTTTACGGCTCACCCCGGTGGGGGGAGGTCTCCTCTCCCCGCCCGGCGCCCGCCAGGCTGAGCTAGGGGGTTGGCTCGCCGAATGGGTGGACCGCCCGAGGTCCCCCGTCCCCGTCCCGTGCTGTTACCTCTCCTCCGCACCCGAGGGGTCTTTCTCGCACCGCAGCCTCTGCCGCTCTGAACCCTCCCGTAGCTCCCCAGTGCCCGCAGGCGGAACCCCAGCATCTGCAGCCTTTCATCTGCTGACGGGACTCCCAGCCCCTCCTCGCCTCTCCCCCACCCGACCGACTCGGCCCCAAGCCACCCCAAGAGAGAGAACATAGCCTTCAGCAAGCGGCTTCGGTGGCTTTTGTCCACGCTGTCCACTTCTCTCCCCCACCCCCCGCCCCACCTTCCCCCACTTCTTTTGAGGACTTCTAGTTATCCCTGAGGTGTTCTCCCATCCGGGAAAGGCACAAGCCTTTGTGTTCTCCCCACCCCAGGCGGAACCTGCACTCCGTTTTTCCCTTTCCTCCAGCCCGGGCCAAGAAGGGGTCCGCATCCTGTCCATCCTCATCTCAGGGGAGTCTCCCAGTGCAGACGGTGAAATCCTTGTAACACCACAGAAACCACTGAGGCAAACCAGATGCTCTTTATTCTCCAGCTCTGGACCACCGGGGGGGGGGGGTCCTCAAGGGTCCCAACCGAGGGGGAACTCAGAGGCTGGCCATCAGGGTTAGGGGGTTATGGTCAGCTCTCCAGACTTAGGTCCAGAACCCTGCAGTCGTCCTCTGGCTGCAACTGTGTGGCAGGAAAGGCAGGCCATTTGAGGAGGGGCGCGGCCAGTCCCCCTCAGCCCAGTCCAGGTGGGGCAGGGGGCCCCAAGCAGCTGGGGGGCTGGGTGGTCACTGGGTAGGTCTGCAGCGTTTCCGCAGCCGGTGGGCGAGGAATGCCAAGAAGAGCAGCCCTAGCACCAAGCTGCCCGTCCACAGGGCTGGGGGTGTTGTCTGGCAGCCTGGAGAAGGAAGGTCAGGAGCCGTGAGCACCTGGTTGCAGGTGTGGGGGAGGAGTTCAGCAGAATCCGCTAGGGGCTGCCCTATTTGCCGAGTTCCCTGAGATTTTAGAGAGGCATTCATGGTTTAGAGCGTCTTTCAGAGTGTACAAAAACTGCTGAGATATCCAGACGACTCCAGAATGGATCTTTTGAAAGGTACATAGGACCTTTTGGTTGGAAGTGACATGGCCGCCCCGCATGCCTGGCTAGTCTCCTGGAATGTCCCCTGCTATCCGTGTAAATTACACACCACATGTTGGCCAATTAGTTTTTTTTTTTTTTTAAGAGAAGAGAATGCAAAATATCTAATTTATACTTCTAAATGTGGCTACTAGAAAATTTGAAATGACCTGAGTGGCTCTATTCTATTCCTATCCTACAAGCTGTTGTGGGGTGTAAAGATCAGGGTTTACAGATCGCTTTGAAACGTAGTCTCTGAAATTTGCAGCCCTCACAGTGCCAAGTGACTCATCTTCCACCGTAAGGGAAGCCCACGGGACAGCTGGGGACACCGAACCTGAGCAGGCCCGTTCCCTGTCTGAGGTCTTGATGCTGGGCTTCCCTCCCTCTGAGGCTCCCCCAGACCCCTCCTGAGCCCCCAGAACTCACAGATCTCCGGGACCAGGTAGAGGCTGGCCATCTGTCCCCCTGGGTCCAGGCGACACCGAAACCAGCCCTCAGCGCAGCAGCCGGCCCAGGGCACGCTCAGCCAAGCCTGGGCCCCAGCCTCCCGCCTCTGGTAGGCTTCCAGACCTCCCGGGGCCTGGGTCCAGCCCACAGCCACACCGGGGCCACAGAGTGCCTGACAAAGTAGCTCCAGACCCCCTGCGGCTGGAGACTGGTGGATCTCTGGGCGGCAGGGCCAGTTGGAGCTGTTCCCTGGTGGAGGTCCAGGACTCCCGGAGCTGCTGTTCCTGGGCGGGGGTCCAGGACTCCTGGAGCTGCTAGTGGAGCTCAGCTCTGGGGTGGCCTCGGGAGAGGTCTTGACAGGGGGCTCCGGGGAGGTCAGGCTGTGCAGGACTGGAAAACAGGGTGATGGGTTTTCTCCTGCCCCAGGCTCTCTCTTCTGTTCGTCTCTCCATTTAGACCACAGGGTTGGACCAGAAACGCTGAAGCCCCACCCTGGGCCACTTGGACAAATTGAAGGGTATCCCAGTGGGGAGGAGCGGGGTCAGGGTCTGCCTTGGTCCCCTCCCCACTCTGAGTGAGTTTCTGAACGTCTGCGTTTCAGTTTCCTCAACTGTAGAGAGGGTGAGAGCCACCCATCCTGGGAGCTGCCACGGAGACTGATCGGAGTGCAGGGTTGGTGAGTACTGGGCTTTACAAACTACAGGACTGGGAGGTGGGGGGAGGGAAAGTGTTCCCTGGCAAATGGAAGGCGTGCTCTGTTCCTTGTGGTACAGATGGGGAGACTGAGGATCTGGGAGGGGATTTGTACACCCTACCATGAAACGTCTTTCAAATCCAGAGACCTCTCTGCGTGCTCCCACCGCACCCTCCCTGCCCCCCCTTCCAGTCCACTGGGAGCTCTCTTGCTCCATCCCCACACCTGATGGCCCCAAGGACATTAACATGAGTTTCATGGAGAAGGAATCTGTGCTTTTTTAGTAAGAGGATGCCGGGGACTTCATGATGTGAACAACACTTGTTCTATTTTAGATATTTGTTAAATTAATAATGTCTGACATGAACCGAGCACCTACTGGGTCTTCAGCCCCAAGTTAAATGTTTTCACTTGTTCATTCATTCAGCAAGAGGTTATTGTGCACCTGCTATGAGCTGGGCACTGTGGTCTCATCCATCCATCCATCCATCCATCCATCCACCCATTCCCAGTGGAGGGTGGAACATATGCAAAGGTCCTGGGGCAGGACCAAGCCTAGCCTCTTGGAGGAGCAGCTGGGAGACTCATGTGGCTGGAGCAGAGTGGGGGGGGAGAGGGAGAAGGTGAGGGCAGGTGGTTCAGGGCCCTGTGGACATAGGAAGATTTACCCAGAGGGAGTTAGGAGCTCTGGAGGACTGTGAGCAGAGCAGGACAGGATCTCGGGGGGTCTGGCACAGGGAAGGTGCTCAGTTAATCTGTTGAACAGCTGAATAAACTCATGAGTAATATCATACTGGAGGCATTTGGGGCTACCCCCTACTGTAGATATTGTGACCCGTCTAGATGGGGACACGGTGGGGGGGGGCGGAGCCAGGATTCCAGAAGAGCTCCTGGGCACCACTCACCAAGGCTCATAGGAGCTGGGTGGGGGGACTTCACCTCCTTCCTGGGGCACTGTGTGTAGGCTAGCCAGAACCCCAAAGACTCACCTGGAATGGCCCGCTGGTGGCTCAGCCTCAGGCCAGGCAGGTTCATGGTTGCCCGGCAGTGGAGGGTGAGTGAGGGGGGGGTCTCCAGCGGGGGCAGCAGCCAGCGCTGTGTTACTCGGAGCAGCTGGTCCTCGCCCTGCGGGGGCTCCTCCTCCACATCCCAGTCCAGGGCCTGCACCCCCTCCAGTTCCTGGTCCCCCAGGAGCAGGGATAGGGAGAGGGCCTCAGGGTTGGCAGGTGTGACGTTATGGGCGGTGCAGGCCACCTCTTGGTCCCGCCTGGCCACCAGGGCTACTGGGGAGACAGTCAGCTGGTCTGGGAATGCTGTGGACAGAGGGTGTGGGGGGGGCGAGCCCACAGGGTCAGTCCTGGGCCCTGAGGAGGGGGCTTGGGGTGCGGCCAAGAGGTGAGTGGGGACTGCTGGTGCATGGGTTCCCAGAAGACCCAGTGGCCACAGCTTGTGTATCTAGAATGTCAAGTATGGAGGACGGGTCCAACGCAGAAAGAGTGGGGGTCAGGTAGGGGGAGGGGGGTTGAGAGGAGGGAGTGGGTTGCCGGGCAACTCAGCTGGAGCTGATGCAGTCTTTGTGGGGGGGCGGGTGGGCAATCTGGGAAGACTCCCAGGAAAAGGTGGTATTGTTTTGGAGGTAAAACAGGGCTGCTGGGCGGCGGGAATGTGCCCAGGCGGCAGGGAGGGGACGAAGCTCACCGAACACCAGGAGCTTCACGGTCCGCAGCAAGGTGTCGGTCCCGCAGGAGCCCACGCACACTCGGGTGCCGGCCTCGGACAGGGAGGCGTTGTGCACCGAGAGGACGCTGCTGCGCGCGTCCGACCGCACGGTGCCCAGACTGGTGTCCAGGCCCCGCCACTGCACCATGGGGTTCCTGGGGTCGGCGCAGGCCAGCCGGCAGGTGAGCTGCTGCGACCCGCCCAAGGACACTGCCACCACGGAATCTGGAGGCTCCATCTCCAAGGACCCACCTGCGGGCCGACGGCGCTCTCAGCCCCGCCCCCGCCCCCAGCCCCAGCATCCCCAGCCCGAGCACCCCCCCAGCCCCCCGCCCCCGGCCGGGCCTCCTCCGAGACCCCCCCCACCGTAGGGTCCTCCGCCCCTTCCCCAGACTGCGCACGGCCCCGCTGCGAGCCTTCCCTCGGCCCGAGCCCCCTCCCCTGCTCACCCTGGGCTCGCTGGAGGAGCCCCAGGAAGACGGGAAACAGGAGGGCGAGACCCTGCTCCATGCTCGTCCGGGTTCTGTCCTCCGCCCGCCGGGGACGCGCCTTAAATAGTGGTGCCCCGGCTGCTTCCCGCCGCCCTGTCCTCCGGCTGCTCCCCGGGGCTTTCCCGGGGGCGTTTTCCGCCCTGACGCCCGACCCTGGAGGCGACAGAGAGGCAGGGGCTGGGGGCCAGGGCTGGCAGGGACCCCGCGGCCAGGGTCAGGACAGACGGGGCGGGAAGGTGAGCGGACTCCGCTCCGAGAGACCGGAGGGTTGGAAGATGGGGACTGGAAAGGGTGGCGGTCCGAGCCAACCGGACCGAAATCGGAGCCAGGCCGCCTCGACAGCCCTGCGGTCTCAGCCTCCACGGCCCAGCGGCGGAGCGGGGTGGGGGGGGATGGGGGGGTGGTGGTGACCAGAGCCTTCGTCCCGCGCGGAAGTGCGGAGGCGGTGGGGGCGGGGCAGGTTCTCCTGGGGTGGGGCCTCCTGCGGGTGAGGGGGTGTGTGTGGGGTCACTGGGTGTGGGGGGCTTGTGGGGGAGAGGGTCCTCTAAGGGGCGGGGTTTCCTGGGAGTGAGGGTCTCTGGGGTGTGGTGTCACCTGGGGGTGGGGTGCTTGTGGGGAAAAGGGGCTTGTGTCCTCTTCGGGTGGGGTCTCCTGCGGGGGAGGGTCTCTGGGGTGGTCACTGGGGGTGGGTCTTGTGGGGGAGAGGGTCCTCTGAGGGGTGGGGTTTCCTGCGGGGGAGGGTCTGGGGGGGTGGGGGGAGAGGGGAGAGGGTCCTCTGGGAGTGGGGTTTCCTGGGAGTGGAACCTCCTGGAAGAGTGGTCCTTGGAGGGTGAGGATCTTGTGGGGGTGGTGGGGGTCTTCTGGGGGTGAAGGAGCTGAGACCCGTCACCACCTACCTCTGAGCTTTTCTCCCCTCAGTGAAACAGCTAGGTCGTGGGACTGGGAGCCCAGGGTGGGGCACTGCCTCGCTCTGCTCCACATCGGGGCTGAGGGCCGCAGGGGAAGCCTGGGAAGGGGCTCTGGCTGGGCTGCCCACTCCCAGCGGTCACCAGTGAGTCCTGAGAAATCTGTCCACCTTTTTCTCCTTGCCCCTCCGCTGGTCCCATTTCTCGGACCTTCGTGGCCGCGTACCACCCAGCACCCAGAGTGGTTTCAGCGACACCCCGGAGCGAAATCTCACGGGGGCTGGAGCCTCGCGGGACCCGGAAGCCTCGGGGCCTCGGGGTGGCTGTGCCTCCCCCTGTTCCGTCTCTGCCCAGATGTTGCCTCCTCAGAGCCTTTGCCAACCAGCTTCACTCCCCCCGACCCCGATTTTACTTTCTCCCACTGCATTTTCCTTGTAGCCCTTAACGAAGTCATGCGGCTGAAACCACATTTCCCATGTCCCGGAGCTGGGTCTCGCGTGCTGTGCGGCCCGCCCCACGACCCCAGGCCCCACACACAGCAGGCATGCAGAAAGAAGAGAATGGAGGGTTTGCTCTAGGTTGACCTCAGGGTGTGGTTTGTGCCTCATTTCCCTGGCTTGGGAATGAGGGAAGGGGCAGCCAGACAAGAGTTGAACCCCATCAGCTCTGTGCCTGGGTCTTCTCAGTGTCTTGATTGTCAGAGGCAGAAACTGAGGCAGAAGAGGAGGGACTGGAGCAGAGGGGGAAACCGAGGCCTCGGGGAGGCGAGGGTCCACATGCACGAACTCAGCCCTATTCTCCTTGGTCCCATCCCCCCCTCCAGGCTTGTGCCGGGAAGGGCAGCACAGGAAGGTGGACTGCTAGGTGAGGCCCTCCCCAGGCCGGAGGTGTGGGCCTTTCTCGGGAAGCTGGGCTCTTAACCCGGGCAGGGGGCAGTGGCCTGGTGAATAGGCCTCTTCCCAGCCCCTGACCCTGCTTCCTGCCTCCCTTCCAGCCAAGGCCCCTTGTGGGGCGGGACCTAGCTCTCCGGGCCTGCCTCGCCCACCCATCACGGTCCTCCACCGTGCTTATTTCAGGCTCCAAATGCCCTGTCCGTGTGGATAACAGACCTTCACGCTCAAGGACACGCACAGCTCTGAGAGCACGTAGGATGACCTGGTGATACAGGTGCCCAGAGCAAGGGGCAGGTGAGCCGGTCAGACCCAGAGGGTTCTGGGCAGCCAGACCCGGGGTGGGGAGGAGGAGCAGAGTGACAGAGGGAGGGAGGATGGCAGAAGAGGGAGCGGGCAGGGGCCTGAGGAGAGGGGCCCAAGACCAGCACTAGCAGGTCCCACATGTTGCCCGTGCAGCTGGGCCATCTCGTCTTGTCCTCAGGAGGGTGACTCCATGGAGCCAGCCACCTCCACAGGGACAGAGGTCACCCCCTACCCCCCCCCAACCCCCCCCCCCGCAACCTGGGCTTCCTGCAGAGCTTGTCTGAAGATCCCCTCCCCTTCCCAGCATTGTCCCCACCCAGGAGGAAGTCCTCAGTGGCCAGAGGCAGGAAGCCTCCTTCCCATGGAGGGTCCCAGCCCCCCCCCCCGCCAAAGACCTGTCGTCCTGGCCTCAGCCTTCCCACGACAGCAGCAGAGCTGTGATGGGAACCTGGCCGCCTCAGAGGGTACCCAGGAGAGGCCAGTTGTCCCAGTCCCCCAGAGATGCCCATGCCCTCCGCGGACACCCTTTTCACCTGGGCTGGGTCAGCTGACCTCATTGGTACCACTGGTCAGTTGGGGGCTCACAGCTTCTTCTTTGGGGTGGGCTGGAGCCATGAGGGCGGGGAGTTTCATGCTGGAGGACCCCCTCCCTAGAACATGCCCACCCCCACAGTGGTCTCTCCCTGCTTCTGTAGGTCTCAGGGATGGGGGAGGGAGGAAGGAAACGGAAGCTGTTAATGATCCTTATTTTTTTTATTTATTTTATTTTTATTTTTCGTGAATGATCCTTTAATAAATACCCGTGAAAAGGGCACCTGGGTGGCTGGTTAGAGCCTTTGCCTTCGGCTCAGGTCATGATCTCGGGGTCCTGGGATCGAGCCCCACATCGGGCTCTCTGCTCAGCAGGGAGCCTGCTTCCTCCTCTCTCTCTGCCTGCCTCTCTGCCTGCTTGTGATCTCTGTCTGTCAAATAAATAAATAAAATTTAAAAAAAATAAATACCCATAAAAAGCTCTAGGAGACTGGAGAAATTGCCCTGAGGTTTCCTGGCTGAGTTAGAGCAGGGCTCCGGCAGGAGGGCTGACGAAGGACGGGGTCAGAGCCTGAAGGAAGTAAGGAACACCGAATGCCCATGAAGACAGCGCCTCCTGGCGGCCCCCTTGGTGAGGCTTGAGTGAGCGTCTGCCTTCGGCTCGGGTCCTGATCCTGCGGTCCTGGGATCGAGCCCTGCATCCCGCTCCCTACTCAGCAGGGCATCTGCGCCGCCCCCTGCCCCCCGCCGTGTTGTGAGGTGCTCTCTCTCTCTCTCCCAAATAAATAAATAATGTCTTTAAAAAAAAAAAAAGATGACATTTTTTTTTGGGAAGCTGAAGCCCATATGGGTGGTGGCCGGGGCGTCAAGAGCCTGGGTCGCACATGGCCTGACCCCTTGAGGACCATCTGGGGGCCTGAGATTTAGGTTGTCATGAGCATCAAGGGAGTGGAGGCTTGGGGCTGTGACATCTGGGTTCAGACCAACTGGATGGAGGCCCTTGGGGGTGGGGTGGTATCAGGATGGCCCTCCAAGGCCCCCCTAGCTGGGCCCAGCTTCCCTGGGGGCTGTGGCTGGTCCCCCACTGGGGCTGGAGGGCTCAGGCCAGGAAAGCCCTGAATGAGCTAAAGGGCAAGGGGGGGCCTCGAGGGTCCCTAGCGTCCTGCAGCTGGGGCTCCCAGAAGGGAAACCCTTGGCTTCAGGTCCTCCGGCTAACTCATGCTGTGCTGTCCTCCAGCAGTGGCTCCTCGCTGATGGGGCCCCCACCCAAAGGGCGGTGGCGCACTTGGGGCCCCACCACCAAGCTTCTTGTGGGCCCTGGGCTGCAGGGCGGGTGACCGTGCTGGGTGGTCTGAAGGGTGATCAGGAGCTGGGCGGGCACCAAAGAGGAAGCGTGGCCCAGGAGGATGGTCCAGGAGAAGAGAGTGAGCATGAGAGGCCAATGTGGCCGTCCCTGTCCCTGGGGGCAGGCAGGAGACTGGTGGGACACAGGTGGGCCGAGGATGGGACCTTGCCCGACGGGTTTGCCATGCTGGTCCTGACAGCATTGTCTGGGGCCCTGGCCCGGGCTGAGGGTGTTGGTGCCGGTGTTCTGCCCACAGCTGGGGACGGCACTGCAGGGGTCACCGCCCAGACTCCTCCCGGGCAGAGGGCAGACCATGCCCCAAAACAGCCCTAGGAGGTGCGGGCAGACCAGGGTGGAGTCTGGGAGTCAGATCATCTGTGGGTCCAACCAGAGGCTGACATGTTCACCCATCATCCAGCCGTCTGTCTGTCCGTCCATTTCTCACTCATTGGCCATCCATCCACCTACCCACCCACCCATTCATCTGCCCATCCTCCCGGTGTCTACGTGTCCACATGTCCGGCATCATCGCCCGCCCACCCATCCAGCCCCTCTTCCATCCTCCTGCACCCAGCACCCTCCCGGTTCCGCCGCCCACGCGGACCACGCCCCCGCAGCCCCGGAGCGGGGCCAGCGGCACCTGAGGAAGTCGTCGCTGCTACGCCCCCACGAAATGCAGACTCTTTGGCTTTTCTATGAGGAGGCAGGCCACCTCGCCAGGCAGATGCGCGGTGAAAAATTCAAGTAGTTCAGAAGGGTTTGCCCACGCGGCACCAGGTCCAGGACTGGCTCGGGTCCAGCCTGGCTGCCCAGCCCCAGCTGCAGGGACAGCAGGACTGGTCCCAGCACTGACCCAGGCCGCGGTGGAGCTGCTGGCCACGTGTGCCTATGGCCACTGCCTACGGATCTGCCACGTGTCCCTACGGACCGCCTGAAATGCAATTTTAATTTAAGATTTTAACTTAGGGGCCTGGGTGGCTCAGTGGGTTAAAGCCTCTGCCTTCGGCTCAGGTCATGATCCCAGGGTCCTGGGATCGAGCCCCACGTCAGGCTCTCTGCTTGGCAGGGAGCCTGCTTCCTCCTCTCTCTCTGCCTGCCTCTCTGCCTACTTGTGATCTCTGTCTGTCAAATAAATAAATAAAACCTTTAAAAAAAAAAAAAGATTTTAACTTAGGGGCGCCTGGGTGGCTCAGTGGGTTAAGCCTCTGCCTTCGGCTCAGGTCATGGTCTCAGGGTCCTGGGATCGAGCCCCGCATCGGGCTCTCTGCTTGGCATCCCCCCCCCTCTCTCTGCCTGCCT